TCCTCTCCATATAACGTAAGACCATCCATAGTGTAACCACAAATGAGATTTCCGAGTGGACCTTACATCGAATGTATTTTTTGGGGAAAACATTTCTGACCACACGTTATATTTTCGGGAAAGAATTTTTTTCTCGTAACTGCGTAGGGATTCGGGGGTATGTCTGTTCACCAAAAATGATGATAACTGACCCACACAACTAAAAATAATTTTCCCAAAACGATTTGAAATTTTTCAATTTTCCGAAAAATTTTTGCACCTACCATAAATAAATAATAGAGTTCCTTTAATAACAGTCTTCTTAATACTGAAAAGATATTTTACTAAACGCGTGAATCCACGCAAATCTGACCATACGCGTATGGACGTCGCCATAGACGTCATTTGCGATGAAATATATAAATCAGATAACGTTTCGAGAAATAGTATTTAGTTAAGTGATAAACATGAGAAAGCGACTTGCATGTTCGACCCAGATTTTGGCAAAACGTAATCTGATTATTTATCTACGATTACGATCCCGAAATAATCGCGCGGCAATTACAAGGCAATCACGATAGTAAATCATTGAACTGTTTAATAGTGCATAATTAACGCGTGATTATTTTGAAACCACAATGGTAAATAACTAATCAGATTGGATTCTGACCAAAGCGCGTACATTGCAAGCAATCGATAGAGAAAAGATACAGCGATACCTGTCAAGTTGCAGAATGATCGGGAGCGGATCCGCTGCACGTTAAAAGACGAGGAAATTTTTATTCCTATCGTCTAACCATCTTGCACGTCTGTGTTTACATTGCAGAAGAGATCGCGACGCGGTAAGACCAAATGATAAATCGTCAGAGCAAGTGACAAACGGTCAGAGCTCGAAAGGCAAAAATCGCTGCAACTTGACAGGCATCGCGGGGAGAATTCGTGGCCCGTTCTTTTTTCGCTTTGCCTACTCTGTCGAGGGACCCTATCCTCCCCATCCATATTATTCTTGCATTTTGTACTACAAATATAGACTTTGCGTTATAAACGCAATTTATACTGTGGCAAAATTGAACTCGTCACCTTTATCGGGTACAAGTCGAAAACAAACAAAAATTTTGAGGCGTAACCTTGTTAAAATTCTATCAGATTTTACTCGTGTATTTTAGAATTTATTTGTAAACCAAATGGATTAGAGCGACACTCATCGTTTCAAATAACACAAGTTTGTAAGTGCAGCTTTTTTTAGTATTTTCATTGCATTTGAAATTTTATGTTAAATTTTACTCGTGCATTTATTTGGTATTTTAAACAAAATAGATTCGAGGGACAGTCTATATATTATACTGTATTTACAATAAAAGGCAAGAATTCAACAGTCTCTGTGGCCCGTTCGAGAAACGTGCTGCGACATACGGGTTGGGAACCCCTGGGCTATTGGCTGTTACGTGCCAAAAAGGTGAAATACCGGAGGCGCGCGCGTGTAACGCGAGCGAACGGTCAATCGTTACCGAGAGAAGGGAAAAGAAAATCCCGCCACTGCGGACATTTCGTTTCCGGTTCGAGGAGGTCCAAGTAGACAGGGAATCGAAGTTGTAAAGCGCTGAAATCGCACTTCGTCGAGTACCTTTCCAGGAACGCGACCAGAACGACGGAGACCGAGTCCCAGAACAAGGGAGATAACAGAGAACTGAACGAAAGAAGCCATTCGAGCGTGCAACCGTGCGTGCGACCAATAAAAATTTACCGTTACGAGCGTACGTAATTCCGAAAATGCAAAACCGTGAACGGCAGAGCGAGAGCCTCGGCGGGGAAATAATTAGACGATCGCGGGGGAGTTCGCCGGTTTGGGTCGTCGTCGAACATCGGCGGTTGACCGACGAAGGGAAACGTCGACGAACAAGAGACGAAACACTCAATTACGATGCTCTTCCGGTGTAATGATCCATAAGCGTGCTTCTCGATTTCCAATCGAAACCGTCGCGTCGACTCGACGACGCTGCACATTTGTCAACGAAGAATACGGTTTGTATCAACCGGCAAAAAGGGAAAAGAAACCTCATCGGGTGAAAGCAAGAGAGAGAGAGAGAGTGGGTTAAAATGAGGGGAGAGGGGACGTGGTGGAAGCGGGGAGGAAAAATGATGAGCCAGAAATAATTAGGGGGGTTGCAGAGCATGGCCGACCGAACGCAGATGTGCCAAGTCCGTATGAAAAATTAATGACATCCCGTTCTCGGCATTCCCCCACCCCGCCCCCGACCCTTTTTACTTCCCTAGCGGTGAGTTTATTCCCTCTTCGGTTCGTTTTTTTTTCTTCTTTTTACTTAAGCCCGGCTTCCCTTTATTGCCAACCCTCTTTCGACGATCTCGCGTGTCTCGACGAAATTTAGCCGCGCCACGATCCCCGATAGGCTCTATAATTATCCCGTTTTATCTTCATCAGGTGGGGTGGCTGTAGGGGAACGACTCGCGACCGAGGAAGCGATATAACCGCACGCCCAACCGCTTACTCCGAGTGCGTTTTCGATTCTCAAGCCCGGCACACGCTTGGACACTCTCGTTAACGTTCGCTACTTTTTCGATATTGTTCGCCGGAGGCATATCCGAACGATTATTGGAGTCTGGTGACTGATTGGTCTCATGTACGTTGGAGTAGCTTCCTCGAAAATGTGAAAGACAAAGGTGGAAAATGAGGAAGAAATGCACGACTCAATGTTGAACGTGCTAAAAATGTGCGATGCAATTGAGAGACTGACGTTAGTTAATGGAGATAAAAGTCGATAATTCTTGGGATTTTTGCGTCGTGGGTCGCTCTACCATACACTACTCTATCTGCAGTTTGCAGGTTTCTTAAAACTAATTTTGTAAAATTTGGTCTGAAAAGTCATTATTTTCATTCCATTTCATTCACTCTCAGGGTTTCATACTGTCATCAACAACGCGATCGAGCCTACCAGAGATAACAATCGACAATTCAATAGTATCTCCCTCGATAACGTTCGCGTCGTGGATCGCTGTACACACACCATTGTGACTGCAGTTTGCAGGTTTCTTAAATCTAACTTTGCTTTGCACTTTCTCTCCACCAATATTCAACCACACAACTTCTAAAAACCTTTGCCAGAGAACAAAATTTAATCTAAAAAGTCATTATTTTTAAAACGTTGAGCATTTCATCAGCAATGAGATCGAGCCTACCAGAGATAACAATCGACAATTGAATAGTACCTCCCTCGATAACGTTCGCTGGCTGGAACGTTAACGTGGGATCGTTGTATTTACTCGCCGTCCCGTCTTTCGCGTCTTGCATCCCGTGTCCTGAATAACGGCGTTCCTCCATTGGATCTACCGCGCACGCGCGCATACACAGAGCGCCGTTCTTCTTTTTAATTTGTCTTCGTTACGCGCGTCAATCATTTTTCGTTTTCCTGTCCTGTCGTCTGGCCTCGCCTATCCTCCGTCCCGACGCACCAGACCATCCGCCGCCACTCGTCCGCGTCGTTTTTCACGTTTTTGCGCTGCACGACGATCGATGGAATTACGTACGCAACAGCGGTTCGACCTACTGGTTGGTAACGAGGGAACGCGCACGACCGTCGCCTGTGAAAGCGCAACCGACGATCCACGACCCGTCGAAAACGATCGATCGTCGAATTAAAACCCAAGCGTCGCACGTCGTACTTCAGCTTTTTCCCCCTCCACCTTTGTTTCACCTTTCTTCCCAGGCGCCAGAAGTTAGGTAAACCTCCGAAGGTACCCAGGAGAAGCGGGACCACGCGAAAATCAAAATTATAGGTTTCCCGCGTCCAGCCGGGGCTTCGTTTAACGTTGATGTATGCGCGATTGTCGAGCGCGGCCGCAAATGGAGCGCCGGACAAATATTTACAGTTAATATTATCCAGTTATAAAAGCGGCGAACATCCTGTCGCGCTCGACGGACCGCGTTATGACGCGCGGTATTGATAAACGGCGGACCCGTTGCCAGTCTCCTCGGCATAATACCGATAATTTATGAACGCGACCGGTCGACCGACTTTCCATTCTCCTCCGTAATTAATTCGTTCGTATCTCCTTCTCCCCCTGCGGACCGTCTTCGTCGTGTTTCGAGAGCTTTCGATATCCGCGGATCGGCGCACGTTTTATTTATTTATGCTAATCTATTCTCTTCGACGAGTCGTTTTACCATCGAGTTTATCGTCTGAAAATTTCATATCGACCCCCTCCACCCTCTGTAGCCTGCTTGGCGATGCTCCGCGCGCGTTTGCTTCAATTTCACTACGACTGAAAACGCTTCCACTTCCCTTATTTCGCCAGACAAGACGGTTCTTACAGAGATCGGTTTCTCTTTGAATTTTAAACGCCGATCGACGAACCGCGACCCCTCTCATTGTTCCGTTCGCCACGTAACGCGGCTCCGTTTCTCTTTACTTTCGTTTAATTTCTACTTATCCGCCGCGAGACTCGTCCCTTAACGCGGGATTTTTATTTCTCTGCCCTCTAACGATCCTCGGGCCCTTCTCTTTCTCGCACCCTCGTCAAGCTCGTGTACCGGAACGTCATAAATTCCAGCTATCCTGCTCACGGTTCTCTTACCGCCCTTTTCCTCTTCCCCTTCCGTTTCCTCTTACTTTCGTTACCCGCGCCGTCGAGTTGTCCTTCTCTATTCTCCACGCGTACAGTCCCCCTCGGAAAAACCGCGATAACACGGAAGAAACGACGGAACGTAATTAGAAAGAGTGCCATTTTTAAACCGTCCCCCCCCATCCACGACGAAACGACAGTCAGCATTCGCGGCGGCCATCCCTTTTAGACCATAATTTTTATCTTCTTCCTCCACCCCCGGCGAAGATCTTGTTCGGTCGGAGGAGCGAGGCAATGGCCATTTGAAAATTAGTCGAACCATCGCCGTTCTCCAGAAGCGAATCAGAAAAGTTCGATTCATGAACGACTTCGAGGTCGAGGCGAGTGGATGGGAAAGCGTTCGCGGTTCTTCGTCGCACGATTTGTTCGAGTAAACTACTCACCCTCTTGCCTGAGGAGTACGGCGAGCAAGAGCAGCGTGAGATCCATCGTCTCCCGCGTTGACTCCAAGATTTCACCGAGCGTCGGTTTCGTTCGTCCAGCGTAGTCGTTTTTCCCGTCCTTGATTCTCTCCGGCCACTGTTCCCCGGCTCCTCCGTCTTGCTGCGCGCAAAATACGATCGGTGAGCACGTATTTCCACACAAAAATATCACTGCATCGACGCGAACTCGCGGTTACACGGTCCCGATCGAGGGAAATTAAAGGTCGCGTGACGGCCGTCGCTGGCGAGTGCCAAGGGAGACGTCGCTAGTCGAGCCTCGGAGGTATCACGAGTCGCACCCTCGTTTAAAACTCGTCGATCGTTAAACGCTTCTCGCGGATTTCGAAGTTTCCGCGATTTTTGAGCAGCCGCCTCGTCATCCGATCTCGCCGTCCGATAGTTTGGCACCGAGACAGAGCCCGGCGGTGGGGGCGGGTAATTTTCAGGGCGGAATCTCGAACAACGATCGCGACGTCGACGAAAAATAAGAACTCGAGAGGACGTCTTCTTCGTCTCGAGCGCGTCGCGATGGGTTGGGAGAAGATGCACGCGACGAACGGGCGTTTTTTGCCTTAAATCCTCTCGCCCCGATAATTACCCAAGGGAAATACCCGCGGCGACCGCGGACACGCGGAACAAACGTAACGAGAAACTCTGGCGAATAATTCCGGTTCGGTTCGCGGTAACAGGGCGGAAAGAAGAGGCTGAAGGGAGGACAAGGAAAGAAAGTCGAGCGTACCGGAAGGTACCGGGCTTTTAAATGCAACTTGTTGCAATCTCGCCCAAAGCTCCGAGAGCTCCTTCGACTAGCGCACGTGTGTGCCCCTTTCGCACGCGTGTTCGAGTCAGGGACGTAAGAGGTTGCGTAAATTCGCGGGATCGATCATCGCCCGGAAACTAGGGAGGCGGCGTGGAACCGTGGTACCCTAGGTAAACCGGTACCAGGCGGACAAACGAGATCCGGAATTATTAACCTGGGACCAAAGCCCTGGCTGTTTACCGGACGCCGCGATACCGCCGCCGTGACCGCTCGACCACGACCCTCTGTTTTTCTCCAGTGACACGTGCACCGGAGTAGCCGTCCAGCCAGTGACACGCACGCAACCCGATTTCTCTCCCTGCGCTCTGGCACTCTCTGGTTCCCTGTCCTCTGCCACCTCCTCCCCCCTTCCCCTCTTTTCCGACCGTACGACGCGAATGCGTATTGATTTGACCGAGACTATTCCCTTTCGGATCCATTCAAAGAAGGGGCGGAACGCGCCGTCAAGAGGGGGAGGACAGTTTATTTGTTGACACGTATCCCGTCTATGGGATCGACTACGCCGATATTTTTCTATTTTTTTTTGTTACGCGGATAATCCCGCGATCTATATATGCGTGTCTATCTGTTTGCTTTCACGGGGCGTCCGAATTTAAGCGCCAGGATCTGCTCGTTGTCCGTGGTTTCCCCCTCGGATTGCTCGAGACACTCATCCACCGTGTTAAATCGAATTTCAAAGTTCGCTCGGAGGTTCGCCGTCGAGCGATCTTCGATTCGGATTAAGAGCGGCTTACCGCAACGCCGCTGGTGGCGGCTGCTCCTCCAAAGGCTACTTCCGGCTCAGCGAGCGCGCACAGCCATCGCGTCGAGGCGAACGATTCGATTCAAGAATTAAAACGCGACAGGAAAACTCAAGGAACGAGGCGGTTCGAACGATGGGAAATCGCTGGATCGATGGATACGTTTTTTCTTTTTTTTTCTGTTTTAATGGGTACCGTGATCCAGGAGGAGTACGCAAAGAGATTCCGGGAACGATCGCGATCTCGTCGGCGACGCGACGTGTCGCGACGCGGCGCGGCCCGACACGACACGGCAGGTCGAGGAGCGTCTCCGAGTGAAAGTTCGCGTCGCGGATGGCCGATGCCGACTACGAAAGCTCGACGTCGCGCCAGTTTAGGTCTGTGCGCCGGTAGGTCGTGCACCTGTGCGCGTGCGCGTTAAGAGTCGAGCAGGTGCAAAATGCACGCGACTCCGCGGCGAAAGGTCTGACGCGCGCGGAACGGCGCCGAGCAACGGCCAACCACGACCGCGAGCCGATCTTTGGCTTTTGACGCTGGATCGACCGGAATCCACGCTCGTATAACCGATAACGGATAAGACTCGTGACGCTTTCGATCGAGTCGGCGCTCCGTACCTTTCGCCTTTAGGTATTTCCGTTCCACGGCATTCGAAGATAGCGAAACGTCGCGAGGGCGGATGAATTTTCCCTAAAACTGTTCTGAAAATCTGCCCGGTCGTTCAATTCTTGTAACTTTGTTTACGTTCGAACGTTACGGAACGAAACCTATTTCTAACGACGTTGGAAATTTAACTCGTTCAATTATTATAAGAAAAAGAGATCTGATGTTTGAATAAAAATACGTAGCTAGAAATGCATCAAACGTGTTACGACATCCATGGAACATCAATTTATGAGAAAGAAATATTTGTGAATTTGGAAAATATTTGAGCGTTATGGGATTACTGTTGAAGTTTAGTTTATGAAGATAATGTCTCTGTCATACAATTCGTAGGAATATCTTCAGAGATACTAATAGTAGAACACAGTATTTAAATTAAATAGGAACTTTGCTACTATTTTCATTTCGTTTCTTCAATTTATCATAATTTAGTCTGCAAAAAAATTAAGATATTGCATCCCTTAGTTGTCACGACCATGTAAAAAAATTCCTCTCAAGTTACAAACAAATTACATTTAATTGACCGCTACCTCCAATTACCAACATATAGATGAAATCATGAGAAACTTAAACTGTAATTTTGCTGATAAGTGGAAGAAACGTAATCGATCGTTACAAGTATTTCTCGTGTGACATAACAAATGACTGATAACAAACTAGTTTTTACACTTGTCAAAAGAGCAGGTCGATCGCCGGTACCGTTCGCTGGAGTTAGTAATGAGACGAAAAGACAAAAACCTTCACCTCTGGTAGAAGACTGTAGTTCAAAGAAACTGTCATTCGCGGTTAATACCGATTTGAGAAACGATAGCAAACGGGAGGCAGTTTTAATGGCCCGAGTTGTTACAGCATATTCTCCAAAGAGAGTAATTGAAATGAAAAAAGTACTTAACGCGTCAACATAATCGGCTCCAATTAACCTGTTGGCTGTAGTACCTTGTTTTGAAAATGTGTACCCACGTTGTGTCGTAAAAATGAAGATACGACGGGTATGGTCGTTAAATGTATGCAGCTGTTGTAAAATTAAATTAAAGTATAATGGTAGCTGGTCTTCTAGAAAAATGAATAATTTCTTACTCAGATTCATTGGTATTATTCACGAAAAGTTGTAAGAATTGTACGCAATCACGACTTTTTTCAAATTATTTTTCATCGTCCACGTTTATTCAAACGTGTACATACATACGCGTACATTATGGTAACGTAACATGCGACGCTGCTCGAGTTAACTCCGTGTGTGCATATTTCTGTTAGTATCGTTCGCTGAAGCTAATTCGAGTGTGCTCGTTAAGAGGTTAAGCGCTGTTTTAAGTTGACGATGATAGATGGCAAAAATTTTCGATGTTATTACTGCAAATGCAAACACAGCGATTCCCAAAATAATGAATTACTCGGAGGAAGTTGCGAAACGAGTATTAAAATGGAACGCTACGATTATGAATCATTGACATTACAATGCCCCTAGAGTTCTCCAGAAATTAGATTGCAAAAAATTCTATCCAAATTAGGGAAAAGTGACAAAGGAAAATTTTCCACTGCTTAATTACACTCTTTAAAATGAAATTTTCTCTTTGATACTATAACACTGTTTAAGTGTTCGTAACTTTAGAAGTTTATCAAATTTAAAAACTTACTTTTAACTATATTCTTCCAATTTTAAAGAATCGAAAAATAATAAGAAACATTTTAACTTTGATTTCAGTGTTTTCGATAAACAGTGTAAAAATTTAATTTTGCTACAATTTATTTCAGTTATTGCATACACCCTGTATATTGCTATTAGGTCCACCGTGAGCCAAGACGATACCGGAAACGTCCAATATCGGCTTCTGCTTGCCAAAATGGACATTTTTTCGCGATTCGAAGTACTGCGGCGGCGCTTCCCGCGCTCGCCAGCAGAGGGCTACGCTTTCTCGCAAGCACTCAATCGATCTACTCTTATGTATACACTTCACCAGCGATAGTGACGAGTCGCTAGCAGGATCTGGACGAAACGTTCCTCTTTACACGAAACAACCTGTCGCGTTACAATTTTGCTAGAAATTGCGACGCTTCGACACCGCCTGTTGTCTTTCACTCGTGCTCGCCGCGTCTCTCTCTCTCTGTTGTTGGAACGATACTCGGTACAACGCCGCGTTCAGTAATTATCAATATCCGGACCCGTTGCCAGCCAGACCTAGCGAACGCGGATCGATACGAAACAATAGTTAATTCCACTCTGATTGTTGTTAGTATTCACGGCTCCGGTAACGCGCCCCATTTCCGATCGAGCGGCCTCCAGTTTTCTCGGAGGGCAAATTGAAAATAGTCGTCGCGTTAACGATGGTAGAGGAGAGGGGGCGGGAGGCGGAGGATTCCAGATCGATTCGAGTTTTCCGGGTTAACGGGGTGCAATCGCGACCGCAAGATAGCGTGTCTACCGTCAACGATCCGCGAAGGAGAGTCAAAGTTTCAGAAATATTCGCGTCGCGAGTAATTTAATCGTCGCGTTCGCCCAAGGTGCGTTCCTCCGCGAGCCAGACAACCCCGTAAATTGATCACTTCGGGGAGAGCAGGGGTAGCGCCGCGGCTGCAAGGCGAAATCGTTCGCCCGACTAATTGTTCGCGAGATCGAAGCAAGCTTCCGCGAACGATCGTTCGGAGCAGAAACCGGGAGAAGGAAACGAGAGAGGAGGCCCGATAGACGAAACAATTATTCCGTTGTTCCGTTGCCTCTTGGAAGCCCGATGCGCGCGCGAATGGATTCGAGCGGTGCTTTAGGGGCGATAATAAGCTCGGTCGTTTGTAAACGGGGTTCCGCGGGGAAATCTTCGCGAATGCAAAATAAAAAAAAAGGAAAAAAAACGAAGAAGGAGAGAAAAAAAGATAAGGAAACGGGATGAGAAATTAACTTTGCGCCGTTTTCTTTCTCCATCGAAGGAGGAACTCTTGCGCGAGGTCCCGCGGATAAAAATTTCTCCGGAACAGCGTAATCGTTCGTTTCCACGGCTCCGCGGGCCTCGTTCGCCTCCACTTCGGGTCCACTTTGTTCCGCAAACTGAAACTGACGCAACGGCCAATTCCCGTTCGTTACGGTAACGATAATGGTAATCGTTAACCGCGCGTTCTCGACGGTGAAGCGTGGTCGACGACGGGAAGCAACCCCTTGCAGAGCCCGATCAAAGCCACCTCGCCTCTTTTCCGTTGTTTCGCTGTACGCCTCGCGTCCCGTCAGCCGATATCGCTTTTCCGTCCGATTCGCGGACGCGAAAACCAAAACTCGGACGTCGACGCGACGGAGAAAGCGCGACGGGAGATGGGAACGGGAGGGTAGGTAGGCTTTATATCGGGGACGAAACGATTAAAAACGATAAACGACGATCGGTGGAAAGGGTCGACAACGGGGGTGGAGGGGTGTCTCGATCACGAAAATCGTTACCATTGCATCTCGGCATATAGAGGCCGTAGGGAGAACATGGAGGAACGCGGAGAAACGCGTCGAAATCTCGTTCCCTTTATGCCCGTTGCGGTGCTCCTTTGAAAACAGTTCCGGTTCGAATCCCAGTTCATAGCTATAGACGATAAATTCCATTGTGGTTTCCAGCGGATTGAGAAGACAGCGAAATTGTTTTCGCTGGAAACCGCGCGTATCGTCGATCCGACGATTGGCGGTTACGTCATCAAAGACGTTGTACTTTGGTTAGAAGCTTGTACGAAATTGGCGATAAATCGATTATCCGTTAATTAATCAAGCCACGCGGCCGATAAACGATCAAGTACTCGTGGACAGGAATCGACGGACCCGGACGCTCCGGGGAAATTACGCTTCTCCGAAATACCGTTTCGAGAGGAACGAAGGTAAAATCGTATGTATGTTCTCCTTATTGGCGATTCGTCCGAATATCGACGTTCGGTTCCTCCCTTGGCCTCCCCCTCACCGCCGCCCTTTCCGTTTTCGTTCCCGCTCCGCAACGTCCCCGTCACATTTACCGAAATAAGTGCGGACTCCCCGCGAAAAGGTGGACACGGTAGCCCGGCGGCGGAATACAATCGTTCTTTGTTAAAATCGTGTTTATCTTGGAATGAATAATTCATCGTTTCGTTTATCTTTTCCTAGCGGTGCACCGCCCGCCATAATATCAGCGGTAAAAATAAAATTAACATAAAGCGAGGCTGCGAACGTGATTTACCGGCGCATAAAAAAGTTCTTCGCGCAGGTTGAACCCGGAGGAGGAGGGCTTGGAAAACGCGTCGTTAATCAAAGAATCGTCCCGCGAATTTAGTTTTTCCCGAAGAGGCGACGAAGAGGTTGCTCGGGGTCCGGTAAACGGTACCCCGAGCGAACTTCCTCGGTTTGCTTCCTTTCACCCCGGGACGATCCGGTTCCGCGTTTCGCGTTATCGATATTAATGGCGCGTCGGGGACGGGATGCGACCCGGCACGGTTAATCGTCGACACGCGAGCTCGAGTTCCCGTCAAATTTACATCGACGCCAGTTCTGTCGCGCCGGTGTCGAATCCGTTGCGACCCCGTATGGAATAGTTAGCGGGACTGCGTTAAACGTGTAACCAGCTGGCTGCTAAATGGCCCGAAACGCGCTCACC